AGGAAATATTAAAAGCACATTATTAAGCAAATCAACCTTTTAAGTAAAAATATTAGAAGTAAATTCTTCACGCTTGTTGTTCGTAATTTATTATTTTTATTCCAAAAAAAAATTTTAAGTATTGAAGAGGATTTCGGATCCCCAGTACCGCAATTGGTTAGCGCGCGGTACTTATAGATCAGTGCTTGCGAGTCATGCCGAGGTTGTGAGTTCGATCCTCACCTGGGGAAAGCCTTATTTTACACCGTTAGGAATAAAGCGAGATTCCTCATCTGAAATTAGAAACCACGTTTCTTTAGTGGAGCTAAAAGTCTAAATCGAAATTCGCCCAAATGAATAATCGGTTTTTCTCTGAGATCGAGACAATTTTAGAGAACATTATCAAATAATTTATGTAGAATTAACTTGCTGTTTGTTTTGCAAGTGATGACAACGTGATTTTTCTCTTCGGTGGCGTTATAGGGCAGCGTGCATGCATTACAGATCTCTTGGTTAGTTGGCTATTTATTAACGTCGCAATATAAGACCCGACGGACCTCTCAATTTTTGATATTCGCTCAAATGTGACGAGCACAACACCTGAGGTAAATGGTTTCCTCCCTAACTAACTCCAGTCTCCACCCAAAACTTCCACGCCATCGAGAAGACTTTAGCAATGTTAAATATAACGTGATTCGGGGAGGACTACACTTCGGGAATTTAGAGGCACCAACACTCGAATCTGCAACTTGACGATAACCGATTACGAGTCCTCATGCTTAAGCTTCGGGCCACCGCATTCTCTATATAATAGAGTAGTTATTGCCGGGAAATGGCGAAATTGTTAGTTCGTTCTACACATGGGAAAGGAATTATTATTGAAAATGGCGCATTATTTATAGTAGTATTCGCCACTGGAAAAGGACATTATCTTAGATGGAATCATTTTAAACACTTAACGGTCTACGCTCGGCCAGAAAACAAAAAAATTAAGACAGCATTTCACAAATCGTATTAAGCTGATTTGTATCATTCCAGGTGAAAAAATTATAATTATGTTCATATTATTCTACTTTTTTATAAAATGCATTCATTTAAATATATCGTTTTCGTATAATTTGGTATTTAATTTTCTGTGTTCTTCAGTATCGCAATTGGTGAGCGCGCGGTACTTATGCATCAGTACTTTCAAGAAACGCCGAGGTTGTAAGTTCGATCCTCACTTGGGGAAGGCTTTATGTTTTAGAGTGCAGGAACTGAAGTAAAACTAATGAATAGGGAATTTTTTTAATTATTTTCATTTTCGTACAAATTGTAAAAAAAATTGTAATATAAATTTAAATTTTGTTACTATTTCCTTCCTTGGAACAATATATATTAAACATAAGCGTGCTTTGAAAATTTTTATTTAGATACAACCACAACGAAATTCTGTTTCCTAAAGCCGTAATCGTAGAGCACATGTAACTTATGAAGCAATACTTCTAAAGAATGCCGAAATTTTGAATTCTATCTTCATCAGGAAATTTTTCGATTCTACGAAGAAAGTCAGAAATCACGAGACCTTCATTCGGAAGAAATATTAAAAACACATTATTAAGCAAATCAACCTTTTAACTAAGAATATTAGAAGTAAATTCTTTACGCTTGTTTTTAGCAATTTATTATAATTTTTTTCCAAAAAAAAATTGGAAGTATTGAAGAGGATTTCCGATCCCCAGTGGCGCAATTGGTTAGCGCGCGGTACATATAGATCAGTGCTTCATCATCATCGACTATTTTTGTCGGGTAACATAACCCTCTCGGGCTTTAATCCCCTGTGAATTGGCTATTATTTGAGGTGAGACTGAATTTTGGTTTTACACTTGCCCAGAAGTTAAGATTTAGATATTAAGATAATAAAATAAAATTACAGTGCAATAGCTTTTTGGAAAATATGAAATTAATTTTGAAAAATATGCTGAATATATATTATTAATATTAGAATATCACTAGTTGAATACTAGTGTTTTTAAAATTAATCCAAAAGAGAAGATGGTTGAAATTCATGAGTTTAGGCTTAGGATATTGCAGCAGTACTCTATTGGATTCCTGCTTACTTGTTCAGTCTGGTCGCAGTGAGAGTGCGCTCTGTGATTGGTCGATGGTGTGGTGTGTTAATTCTGTATATATAGGTGGGTGCATAGGGGTGAGATTTTGTGAGGAGTGTGCTTGTGTTACCAGTGTTTTTATAATATAAGTGAAATTAAAGAATTAAAATTTCTCGTGGTCTGTGTAGTTGTGGGTTGTTTCTGAGTGGGGTGTACTTTTCTATTTCTTGAATGGTTTTATTGCTCGAAGTATCAATTTTTTGGTAGAAATTTCCTGATAATTTTTTTAATGAAGTTTTTAAGCGTTGGAAGTTTAATTGAGTATCTGATGTCTGTGTTTCTCATGTACCAGTGTGCTCTTACTATCATTCTAATGGTGGAATTTTGGGATTTTTCTAATAATTCCAGTGTTGTGTCAGCACAATGCGACCAGACTGGACTAGCATAGGTCAGGATAGGTCTTAGTATCAGGGTGTAGATAAGCAATTTATTACGTCTACTTAATGAAGATTTACGCGAAATAAGGGGGAAAATATTATTTACTGCAGAATTATACTGCTTTTTAATTCGTAGAACGTGTTGTTTAAAAGTGAGTTTTTTATCCAACGTTACACCAAGATATTTGGTGTCTAGAGACCAGGGTATATTTTTGTTTTCCAGAAAAATGTCTGGTTCTATTTTTCTGTAGTTTCTGGAGAAGAAGACGGCCTCTGTCTTGGAAACGTTCAGGGCTATTTTCCAAGTAGAGTACCATGCTTCTAGTTTCTGTAGGTGTTCGTTTAGTGCTTGGCCTATTTTTGGTGATAAGTAGTGTCTTGCTAGTATCGCAGTGTCATCTGCATACATGCATATTTTTGTATTTTGGTGTTTAGGGATGTCGTTCACGTAGTAATTGAACAAGGTGGTTGAGAGGATTCCTCCTTGCGGGACTCCAGCTTCAACTTTTCTTAGATTTGATAGTTGTTCATTAACGGTGACTTGAAAGCTTCTATTGCGTAGATATGAGTTTATTATTTTTACGAGATATGCAGGGGTGTTGTAGTTGATCATTTTGAAAATTAAACCTGTATGCCAGACTCGGTCAAAGGCTTTCTGGATATCCAGGAAGACCACACCAGTATTTTGACTTTTGTAAAATCCAGTCTTGATGAATTCCACTACTCTGAGCAGTTGGTGTGATGTGGATAATTTCGGGACGAATCCATGTTGTTC